CCTCCCACACAGCAGCTCCCTCCCTTCCCTTCTGGAGCAGCAACAGGCAATAGTTTCAGCACAGACAGTGCTTGGCTTTCTTAGGTTTGCTGGGTGCAGCTTAAGAATTAACTTGCTCTTTTAAAAAAAATGTATTTTGAAGATTGGGAAACTCACCACAGCAGTTACTGGTAGAAATCTCTAGTGTGAGAGCAATGACCTCCAGTTCCCTGCACCTCACTGAGCTTTGCATGATGAGTTAACTCTGCTGCCTGACTTAGGGGCAGCACAGGCTACAGTTCACACGTACATAAAAGTTAAAACCAGTACTTAACTCTAGGAAATTGAGATTTTACTTGCTGGCTTCTAGTTCTAGTTGTATTCCCTCCAATGCAAATAACAGCGCTTTAAAATCTTTTTTCTAGACAACTTTTATCTAGGAGTATTGGTGTATCTTACAGATTGATGCTTTGAGCTTCCCAGCCTCCCAGTAAGAGACATATTGTCTGACATAGGGACTGCCATGGGATATTCTCAGCCAATGTTGGAAGGGATTTGAACCCAGCAGCCTGCTTCTGCATTTTTACAGGAATACGGACCTACAGCTACCTATGCAATGATTTTACTCCAAGAACTATTTGCAATAGCAGGGAAGTTTAAAAAAAAAGAGAAAGAAAAAAAGAAGGATAAACCTAGCATTTAATTTTTATAATTCTCCTCATCTCTTTTTATATTGTGTTATTAAATGCATTTTTAAGACTTTCTCTTGAAGGAGAAAGAAGGTATATTCATTTTGAGTCATTATTTCATACTGTTCATTAGGCAGTGATTAAAGTGCTTTTAGAGTGATTTATCTATATTTCAAACTCCTACAAGAAAGGTGGGCCTGAAAAAGCATCTTGTTTGAATATTGTGAGATTTGAGCTGTGATGGAGAGAATACAATGGCTTTGGATCTTTCCAAGAGAACAACTTTCTCCATGTCTCGTGAGTTCAAATTTTGTTTTCTGCACCATTTCCTCAAATACTGTTAATATGGTGAGGTATGGGGAAAAAAAAAAGTATGGAGATATCAGGCTATAATTTCTTCCTTTAAAGAAAAGGACCAAAGAATCCAGATAAGTTCCAGAACTTTAATGTGATGTCTTCTAAGAAGACACACCAGCATTTTGTATCAAATGCAGTTTCTGAATGGGTTTTGTGCGTTGCAAAATCCAGTTTAGAAAAAGTACATTGAATAAATCATCTTTGATAACTGGGTTAGAAAAATGTCCCCAGTGATCTGGTTAGTAAAAGGTGGAAGGTGGCACTGCTGCTACTCTTTTGTTCTGCAGAATAAAGAGCAGCTCTAGGACTAATGATCATTCTGGCTGAAAACAGGAACTGAGTGAAAATGACATTACAGTTCACAGCAGTTTCTTGTAATTTTTTCCTGTTCTCAACCTTTGTTGTGCCAGTCCAGTTGGGACTGGCCTTAAGTAACCTGCTTGCTTTGTTCAGGTCCTCATTTCACAGAAAGACCTATGCAGCATCAGCAAAACTTTATTGTCCCTATTTGCGTAGAATTAGATGCAGAATGAAGGGCCAGAGAAGAGCTACAAAGTTTAACAATAATAATGTTCCCCAAAGGTCTCACATTTATGAAATGACAAATATGAGCCCTTTGAGAGTTTGCAGCTTGGACAGATGCTGGGGAAATGACAGCCATCAGAGATCTAGAACGAAAGTGAATGGAGGTGTCTTCAATTACATCTGTCCATTTCTGCCAGGTGTGAAGGTGCATGGGAAGTTCCTTTGATCAGCAGAGTTAACTGCTGATGAATATTCTACTGAGATTGATAAGCCTGTGTGTCACTGGGTAAGTGCTCTGAGAAAATCATGGATCCATGTACTCTATTGCCTCAGAGCACAGATATGGGAATTTAATCATGTTGAACTTGATTTACTCTATCTCCTCTGTGAATTTGTCCAACAAAAAGATGTCTGAATCTAGATATAATTCTAAGAGCATTAATATCCCTGTTTACCCTCTCACCTTTCCCATTTGTCATGCTCTAGGCATCTCTTTCTGTTCTTTGTAAATAGTTTGGGGCACAGGGTTCATGTGTGTACATGAACATATATATACATATACAAGCTATCACGTGTACACAGGCTGTTGGATGCTTCCGGTATGTCGGGAGGCATTAGCAAATTAGATAATCCCTAAAGGCCTTCACCACCTACCAAGGCAAGGCACAGTCCTATTCTCGACAGACTTGCTTCTCAGAGGACTGGTCCTAAATCAAAGACAATGAGAGTTCCTCATTCCATTATCTTTTTGCCAGAGAAACTTTTCCCAAAGTTTACAGTGTGTCATCCTCCCCTTTCCCACAAACTAACCTGCAGCAAGAACTACCAGTATTTAGATAAAGGGCTTGCAGATAATTTCTCCAAGTTCAAGCTGCAAGAACGCTGTACTGGGAGCAAAGTCAGTTCAAAGGAGAAATTGAGAAAGTTATTGGTCACTACTACATTTAGACCTATTTACTAAACACCCCTATACATAGTCATGCTACTACCACTGGCAAATGCTGAAAACTTCTAGGAACAAAGTTCAAGAAACTGAAAGCTTGTCCTTTTGACAGCAGATGGCTGTTAGTGCTTCAGTCACCGGATAATGTCTTGTAGTGAAGTATTCTTCATCTGGGTTTCCATGCTATCCAAGTGGTGAAGTTTCTCAAGAACATGCAGATTTTGTTGGAGACCCATTCAATCAGAATTTGTAATCCCAGTGGCTGAAGCATAATACGTATTTTTACTCCAGGTATGAAAAAGATCCGGACTAGTTTGTGTCCGTCTGTGTGGCACTGGAGAGACTGGATGGGAGATTTGTGTTGCCTTGTATGTGAAACCACTGCTTGTGAAGACAGCTTGTGTTTTAACTAGGACCTGCTCAAAGAATGTCACAGTGCAAGTAATGTTGAAAGATGGCACACACCTGTATTGACCCTCCCATATTAAGTAGTGCTCTGCTTTACTGGGATCCTAGCTGTTTGTCTTTAGTGGAAACGTGGAGTGGAGTGAGTGAGTAGTTCTCCAGAGCAGAACGCTCCTGAGTCAACAGACTGTGAAAGTCTCTTCTGTACTTCTGTCTGGCAGCTAGAGTCAGTCTGTCAGAAAGGAGGTAGGCATTCTTGCTCTTCACTGAGTTCCGTGTTTGCACATGACTGAAGAGGGTACTTTGAGAGGTAACATAAAAGATGACACAGGACTTGGGTATATTATAGTATAACAAACCTGTGGAACTTCCTACTGAAGGAGACATGGGAAACAATGGTGTCCAAGAAACTTTTGAAAAGTACACAAATACAAAGAAAAGAGACAGAGTAACAGGTGAGCAGCACAAATCACAAGACCTGCTATTATAGTGCTTTGAATTGTGTTGCTCCTTTCTGATTCTGCAGCTACCACGTAAACATTTCCACTCAACTTCTTCCCTCAAGCCCTCAACTACTGTAGTTTGCCATGAACTGTGTAAGAGACTACATGTACCACAAGCGAGTATGCAAGAGCCCAACACTACACAAACATGGATTGCCCAGCTAGCTGCTGCCTTGTGGCTGCCAGGCAAGCCTAACAGCCTGTGCTTCCTTGTTGGCAGACCAAACAAATAGCTTCAGGAGCTGCAGTCAACCCTTGGACCTCCTGGGGGAGACCTGTTGTAGGAACTTGCGGTGTTAAAGCCTTTCAGTCCTTTGTCAGATGTGACTAAAATTGGCCAAGAGTCACAAGTGAGTGGGAAGGGGAGAACTGGCAGCTGACAGCAATCACAGAAGCCCTTCCCCAGGCTAACCATGACATGAGTAAGCATGAGTCATAGCACAAATTGATGAGCCTAAAATTATCTACAAGGATGAATACTGCCTAACTGGCCCGGCACCTTATGGGCTTTCTGCTTACTCTGGAATTGGCAGATTTTGGCTTTGGGTGCAGATAGGCTGACTGCTTGACTCCAGGCCAGTAGTAGCCTGACAGCTCCAACTGCAATTTTTTTAAAAATTTGGGTGTGCTCCTTTTTTTTTTAAATGGAGATTCAGCAGGAACCTTCTTCCCTATATTGTAGCCTTTAGGCACTACCGATTTGGTGCTGAAGCTGGTATTTTCTTCTCCTGGAAGCTCCTAGCCCTCCAGCATTGAATCCAAGCCGATTCTTCATCCCCCTCCCCTCTGGCATAGTTCCCAGGCTGTCATGTCAGATGCAAAATAAATACTCAGTGGCTCAGAGCTCCTTGTATCCAGAAGAAACTGTATTTTCACACTGGCTCCGAACCTCCTCTGCAGAGCCAAAGCAAAACTAATGTGGAAACTAATCCCTTTGCCCCTACCACGCACATCCTCTTCAATGGTGGAGCCAAGAAAGACTGAAGAGAATTAAACTTTTCTGTAAATTTCTCAGATAGGAAATACCCTGCTTTTCACTTTCTCCCTCTTTCCCAGTCACTGTATCAGGAAAGCACCTCTTCCCACTACGAATGCTAAAAGTTTATTTTAAGGACAAATTTCATACCTACGTAGGATTGCTATAGCTCATCTTGGCTCTCTATAGCTATTAGCTAGACCAAGTAGGTGGCAGAGCTTGTTAGAGTAACTGCTGCCCACCCAGAAACAGCCAAGAATAGCTGGAGCCTCTCCTGGGGATCAACTATACAAGTCTGGAGCTCAAGGGGTCCCTTCCTGTGACGCATATGACATTACCATCATAGCCATGGAAATATGCTACTATGTGAACTGAGACACAGATATCTGGAAACAAGGGCAGCCTGTAGTGCTGAAGTGACAAAAGAAAAAAAGAGCATCGAGGTTTCTGGTCTCCCTGACTTCTCTCTTTTCAGGTGTCACAAACGCCAGTGCAGCCTCGTGCACTGTTAACTGGTCAGGCAGAACCCATGGCAGTCCTTCTTTCAGCTTAGGGATAGCTTGTTCCAGGAACGCTGCCTCTTTCTCTTGTCCAGTGATTCACTTGCACATCTTCTCGCACAGGCTCCTGGAGTGTCCAGCTAGAGAAGGGAGGTGCTGTGGTGGTGCTGCGGAGCCTGCTGTGGCTGGGACTGACGTTCTACCATGTCCCAATGACCAAGCAATACGGCTACATCTACTTTGGCACTGGTGAGAAGAACGTGGATCTGCCCTTCATGCTGTGACTCTCCTGTCTGCCACAAGGACTCAAGAACTAAAGAACATTTTGATTTTATTGTTAGATTTTTGTTTACTGCTTGTTCTAATAAATGTGTGAAACCTCTGCACTTCGAGCAGGATTCTTTTGTACCTGGAATCTGGCCCCGATTCTTTTGCTTCACTGAATGCAATCTTCCCCCAACTCCAGACTGAATTCCCTGTAATGTGTCACTGCAGATCCTTTAGATGGTAACAAACGGCATTTCTTCCATGACAGGTGAAGCTCTAGGTCAGAAATCAAAACTAGTCCATCTGTCTGATTACAAAGACACCTCATTTACACAAGAACTAATTTGGAGACAATATGAACGAATACCTGCTGTCACCCACGAATGACAAAACCTGAGTTGGAGTCAGAGTAGAAAGCAGATGGACATTGTAAGGGATCTGTACTAAACCCTGAACTCTGGAAAGGCATATCGAAGAGAGAACAGTATTTAGTTTTTCAGATGTTAGGTTTCACCAAAATTAGAGGGGTCATGGAATCACAGAATATGCTGAGTTGGAAGGGACCCACAAGGATCATTGAGCCCAACCCTTAGCCCTGCTCAGGACCATCCCCAAGAGTCACACCGTGTGCCTGAGAGTACGATCCAAATGCTTCTTGAACTCTGTCAGGCTTTGTGCCATGACCATTTCCCTGGGGAGCCTGTTCAGTGCTCAACCACCCTCTGGGTGCAGAACCTTTTTCTAATATCCAACCTAAACATCCCATGACACAAATTCACGTTATTCCCTCAGGTCCTGTCACTAGTCACCACAGAGAAGAGATCAGTGCCTGCTCCTCCTCTTCCCCTCATGAGGAAGTTGTCAACTGCAACAAGGTTTCCTCTCAGTCTCCTCTTCTCCAGGCTGAACAGACCAAGTGACCTCAGCCGCTCCTCATACAGCTTCCCCTCAAGGCCCTTCACCATCTTCACTGCCCTCCTTTGGATGCTAACAGCTTAATATCTTTCTTATATTGCAGTGCCCAAAACTGCACACAATATCCAAGGTGAGGCTGCCCCAGTGCAGAGCAGAGCAGGACAATCCCCTCCCTCAACTGGTTGGTGATGCTTTGCCTGATGCCCCCCAGGACATGTTTGGCCCTCCTGGCTGCCAGGGCACTGCTGACTCATATTCAACTTGCCACCGACCAAGACCCCGAGGTCCCTTTCTGTGGCACTGCTTTCCAGCATCTCATTTCCCAGTCTGTCTGTACATCCAGGGTTGCCCCATCCCAGGTGCAAAATCCAGCACTTTCCCTTGTTGAACTTCATATAGGTGGATTTTTCCAGCTCATGGCACTGAACTGTAGAAAAAAAAATAGCTGTGGGCATCACCTGGTCTTTTTTAACATGTGCTCATTTAAGTTCATCTCAAGGCAATGATTTAATCCAGTGACTTTTCCATTAGCAAAGCTTGCTGAGTAGAGCTAGAAGACATAGAAACTTCTGTAGGTAGAATAAAGAAGAATCTTTTCCTTTCTGAAGGGCTGTAGGTTTCAAAGCTTTATAAAACAGAGACAGACAGCCACAGATTTTTTCTCAATATACTTAATGAAGTCTTGGCTCTGTCTCCCAAAGCACAAGGTCTTGGCCAGCTCAAGGGGCTGAATCTAGGGCTTCCATTTTGCAAAATAAGGCTAAAAAGAATCATTTTATTCTAATTTGATTTCCTGGATAATATGGGTTTATCCTTACCTTTTGTTCCTGCCCATGCTGTAAGGTATTAGCAGATGATTCTGATAAAAGCAATTCAAGGTTAAGTGGTGTAGTACATAAAAAGCTGTGCTGTTTTATAGCCCTCAGATAAATAGTGAAGAAATGGAACCAAATCAATAATGACCCTGATAAATTTAATGAGCCTTTCATACCAGGCCCATAAGCAGCAGTGGACAGTAGGTGGAAGGTGCATATGTGTACTATACAGGGAGAGAAATGGTGCCACCTTTTATTACCAGATGGACAATAAGGCACATCTATCAACTCCCAAGCTATCCTAGGAAGCAACCATATCACTGACATGGAAGACTTATGACAAATGTATTTGCAAAGCAGAAAAAACAGGCCAAGTCATCAAGGATGTCAACACTGTGTATTTCTCAGATCCAGGAGTGAAGCACAAGCCAGGAATCCTTAAGGGGATATGTAAGACACATATACCTGTCTGCCACGGCCACAGGTGTTCTGCTGCAAATGGTGGATAGTACAGATAATAATAATAATAAAAAAATTAATTTCAGTAGTCATTAACAATTTCTGTTCCTGCCAAGGAAACCTAGTGCTGAGGGGACTTTTTCTTCCATCAGCGTCACAGCCCAAATGGTGCAAATCTGAGTTGAAACACATGTTAATTGGGAAACACCATTCACTGATGGAAAAAGAAGGAAACATCCTTTCCCAAACCCATATGTGGAACATAAAGAAACAAAAGCCTTCAGATCCTTTCTGGCTTTGAGGCGAAAGTCTTTGCCCTTTACTTTCTTCAAATCATTCTGCACTCTGAACTTTGCTTTGATGGATCTTGTATTCTAGAGGAACAGATCACAGCTGGACACAATATAGAGTACCAAGGACAATTTTGGAATAAGAAAATTGGAGATATTGACAAACTTGGAAAAATAAAAAAGCAGACCAGTGCAAAACATGTGCTTACTAACTATGCCAGTTCTGGCCACTAGTGGTTTAAAGAGAGAGGCTTTCGTGTATATTTTACATTATCCTTCAGCAAAGGGTGTCCGATTGGAAAGGGCTTTTTGCACCACTTAGGGCCCCTCTTCCAGATGGGCTTTGCAGATCTGATGGACCAGCGGGTCAGGTATCTGTCAAAACAACACAAACATGTTTCAGTTGGAGACTGATCACTGAGAAAAGGTTTTAACTGAAGCAGAAGCAGGCACTGTAGCCTTTGCCTCCCCACATGCCTATTTATAAAAGGAATAACCATGAGCAGAGCTCTCTTAATTCAGGAGGGACTACTGGAAAGCAATTTTTGTTTGTTTTGGAATTTCTAAGCTCACCTCTGTACTGAACCCACTGGCACCTGCTTGACTTTCAGTCTCACAAAGCAAATCAGGTGTAGTCTCCAGGCTGCTGGCAAGTTGTCCACCTGCAGCTAAACTGGAATGCCAAATCCCATCATTACAACTAAGTCCAAGATTAAATGCATTCAGCCTCTAGGGGAAGTGTTATTTCAACAGCTGGTCTCAATAAGGTAAACTAATTACAAAGGCTAAATGCTGTGAGAAATAAAGTCTTTAAAAAGGGATTAATTTACTTTTGGGGGATAATTGTTTATTTCTTATGCATGGAATGGATTTCTGGCCTAGTTTTGTATTTTCATATGTCCAAATTTGCTCTAGTGTTCTCTGTACAACAGTATTGTTGCAGCTTGCTGGTGCAGGAAGTCAACACCTACAGTGTAAGAGGTATTAGAATGGAATTATCATCACAACTACAAATCTCTGTGAAGAGTAATGTCTGGCAAATATCCTCTGTTTTTTACCATTTGAAGTTTTAGACCTGGCTTTGCAAACAGGCAGGGGATTTCAGATCCAGAATCAGTTACTGGAAATCTTACCCTGTGACTGGGTGGCCTCAAGTTTTGTTAGGCTTTAAATCTTTTGCTACCAGTAGAGAGGGGAACAGAGGTCCTTAGAGAAAGAGGAGTCTTTTCAGACAATAAAGATCCAAAGTAAAACCCTAGCATAATCTGCACAAACAATGCTCCAACAAATTAGAATTTGGAACAGACTGATAAACTTTGTCCAGAGATGTTTGCATGCCTCTGTTGAGTAATCCCATGGTCTTAATGTAACCTCAATCAGTCATCCTCTCCCCAAACAGCTTTGTTACCTTTTATTTGCATTGTGCAAATTTGAGATATTAAGAACTTTGGATAGAGACCATGTAATGCATTTGTTTGAAGGCATTTGGGACATTCCTAAGAACTACAAAGAAAGCTTGCTATGCCAGGCAGCTACAGAGTATGTAACAGCCCATCTTCCTAGCCCTTTTATTACTCAGCACTCCCAAACAGCACAGAATGAAAAATTAATCACATGTGGAGATTCCTGCCTCTGAAATGAAGCCACTTCCAAGATGCTTTGCTTTTGCTTTGAGGAGTTTACCATAGTTAAAACATGTAGAAGCAACAGCAGGAGGGGTCTGGGTGACGACACAGAGCAAGATCCAACTACTTCTTCTCCTATTTGTGCCTTCAATTAGTCCCTTTTGACCTGTAATGCTATGCTCATGCATTAGTGGAATCCCTTACATAACAACTTTGGGACAGGAAGTAGGAGAGAGTCTCCTGTCTCTAATTTCACATGCAAGGAGAGTTCAGAGAGACCAAACGCAGGTCCCTAGTTTGGAATCTGGCAAAGAACCACAGCAAGGCAACTCCTCTGGGAGAAGCTGTGGGGGTATTAGATGGGCACATGGGCTAGGTCCTTCTTTTCATATTCTCCTTGCTGCAGGGGGACAGCTGTAGCACAAGTTTTGGTATTGCAAGACTGCACTTAGGGCAAAGGAGGAAAAAAAAATCCCAAACTGTTTTAATGCACCAGTGTGCCAAGTGCAGTTCTGGTCACGTGTCCACACGATTACGGGAAAGTGTTCCCGTGATAATAAATGATCTCACTGGGAGAGAAGTGAATGTGTGAATGTGAGATACACATCAATGCTGTGTGCAGGTTTAGACAGACAGTGGCTTTTTAAGAAATCCCTCTGTTTCTGTGTGGGGGCTGGAAGTGCACACCCCAATTCTGCATAGGAAGGAGGATTTAGTAATGGCCTGATTTTAAAGCTTTTGTTATTTCTCTTTTGAGCAGGTCTAATCCAGCCCTCTGGTCCAGGCTTTTGGCTTCCTTTGGGGACTGCAGGCTGGGGCTTTTCATTGTTAACTGAAACAGACATTTGGACGCTTTCCCTTCCTGGAGCACATTTGGTTTTAGGGCTTTTAATACTTGCTTTGTCCCAAACTCAAACTTGTCCTATTTTGTTTGCTGGCTTTTTTTTTTTTTTTTTTTTTTACCTTGATTCAGCAGCGCAAAAGCCTGATCCCTGGGAGCAGTCAGTCTAC